AGGAAGGATATCTGAATCCCTCCAGTGGAATTATAAACCCCTAGGAAGGATATCTGAATCCCTCCAGTGGAGTTATAAGCCCCTAGGAAGGATATCTGAATCCCTCCAGTGAAGTTATAAACTCCCAGGAAGGATATCTGAATCCCTCCAGTGGAGTTATAAACCCCCAGGAAGGATAACTGAATCCCTCCAGTGGAATTATAACACCCCGGGAAGGATATCTGTATCCCTCCAGTGGAATTATAACCCGCCAGGAAGGACATCTGAATCCCTCCAGTGGAATGTAAATCACCCTGCGTAAAGTTTTAAATTGTAAAAAGCATTTTTTGAAACCCCTCCAGTGAAAATAAAATCCCTCCGGTGGTCTCCAGTAGAATTGAAATCTTACTACGAACTTCTTTGAGTCAAATATCAAATGTCTACAACATTGGGTTACAAAGATATAGTGATTGAAACATCAGAGTTTTTGGCATATTTTTCTTTTTTCTAATAAACCATTTCTTCATTCTACTTTCTTATTATTTTTGTTTTTCTTTTCCCATTTCCATTTCTTTGCTACACTACTAGTACTGTACATACACCCTGCGTAGTTGATTAATCAAGTATACAGCAGTAAAAAATACTCATTTTATGAATTTTTAAAATGTAAAACTTTTCATTTTTAAAACACAAATTAATAGATTGATTTCAAAAAAATATAAAAACATTTTGTACATGTTCCCCGTTCCCAGTCTTCATTGATTTTGATTGTGAATACATTGAGAGGAGAGAGCGAGGGAACATATCAAAAATATATTTAAATATACTTGTACAGGCTGTTAAACAAATTAACATTTCAAAAAGAGAGATGTCAAATTTGACATGAAATAAAGGGGTATAAAATTAGGATCCATAATGGGACGTAATTTTTGAAGAAGTTATATAAACAGTAATATTTTTGATTTTGTACTACTGTAATGTCTTTCCATTATGTCGTGTAAAATACCTGCATGAAGTACACAGATTACAGGACTAAAACCTGCAGTGCCAATAAATGCGAATTGTCATTGTCAAGCCATTCAAGTCTTTTCAAGCACTATACTTTCTACACAAGGACTACCTTACAGTGGTTAATGTATATACAGAATTGAATTATGGAGGGTGGGGGGAGGGAGGGTTGTAATGATTAGTATTGTTAGTTTCGCCTAGTTCGTATTATTGTAAGATTAATTAGATGCTTTAAATGTCTATTGTCTATATTTTAAAGATAGGGGTCAAATAAAGTATTCTTTGTTACGAAGGATTAAAAAGAAATGTTTTGATAACATCAGGGTTAACCACAAAGGATTAAAAAGAAATGTTTTGATAACAGGGTTAACCACAAAGGATTAAAGAGAAATGTTTTGATAACATCAGGGTTAACCACAAAGGACTAAAAAGAAATGTTTTGATAACATCAGAGTTAACCACAAAGGATTAAAGAGAAATGTTTTGATAACATCAGAGTTAACCACAAAGGATTAAAAAGAAATGTTTTGATAACATCAGGGTTAACCAGGGTTAACCAGGGTTAACCACAAAGGTTGAGACTTCAAAGACGAAAATAATGAATTACTGCCTGTTTTCTTATCACTCTCCTCTAAAACCAACTATTAATTCGGCCAGTGTACTGCATATCACTGCAGTACGTAAACGAAAGCTTAATTTAGGGTGTTACAAGGTAATAATGCAAGGAAAGTTATTTCAGAGGTGTACGCATCTTTTGTACAACAGTGTACTGTCTCTGTGAGGTAATGGAAACACAAGACTTTACCAAAAAAAAAATCAATGAAATAGTCTGGTCATAGGAAACTATTATGTGTATTATCAAAATTATCAAAATTCAATGCTTTTAACCTCCTCGGATATGAAACGAACACTGATGTATCTATTCTTGTTTACAAATTCCGCCCAGAGAGAACCGGTTTCAATATGTACGCAGAGTATACGCAACTGCAATTAACTTTCCTTGCATTATAACCTTGGGGGTGGTATATTTATGATTGCTTACAACTATAAACCTTGTTTTTTTCTTTGCCAAATCATTTAATAAGACATTTATAGACCACACTCAAGGCAAACGACTTAATTCAAAACTGGAATCGTCATATTTAAAGAGTTTCAAGTCGTCTTCACAGTCTCATCCTTTGTGAGTAACCCTGCAACAGGGTGATGCAGGATGTGACAATAAATAAATGAATTTATTAATCCTTAAAAAACAACAAAAAATTTAAAAATTTAATAGAAACTAGAAAAAAGGAGAAATGTAAAAAGAAATTCACATGAAAAATAATGAAAGAAAGCCAAGAAGTAATCTCAAGAAGTATTCACGAAAGAAAAAGAAAAAACTGTTGAAAATATCAGGTTTAATTCAAATAAAGAAAGTGCACGGATAAACCCCTTGGCAATTGTAAAAGTAGTTTCTATTCGATTATATCTAACGTATATATAGTTCCTATTCGATTATATCTAACGTATATATAACTTTGATTACTTTTCTCCGCAAATAAAAGGAGATTTTGCGGTGGGGGACAGCTAAGGGGGGGGGGACAAGCTAAGGTTGGAGGAGCCCGTATTCCGGGGGGGCATAAGGGGGGCACTTCAGATGAAGGAAACACAAAATTAGGAGGGGCCAGCAAGAAAAAGGGCAATAATAGAGGAGGTAGATGCTCTAATATATGGGGAAGGTTGAAAGGATATTAAAGGCATGCAAGGCCAAGGTTTACTAAAGGTAATGGAACATCTAAGAAGGGAAATGGAAATCTCCTGCCCAAAAAAGTTTTCTTGTTTTCAAAACTTCAAACCATTAAGTTGAAACACTGACACAAAATTTTTTTTATTCCTCTGTTACATTTTCTTTACAGGAAAATACAATTTTTAAGATAAATGATAATGTAACATCAATTGTTGTCACGTGTACTGCCATCACATAGCCTTGATGAAAGCAAAAACTACGTCTTGTCAAATTTCCGGACTTCGAAACCGGTTTCTGGGATTGTAAACAAACAAACAAAAAGCAATTTTTCCCCCAAAAAATTGTTGCACCATTATTATTTAAAAAATTACAAGAGTCACTTTTAAATTTTAGGGGAAATTAATAGTTACTCTAGTGGGGGGGGGGTAAATACATTTTGAGGAATATAATTAAATAATTTTTTTTTGGGGGGGGGGAATATATATATCCCTGTTTGTTTAGATATGTTATTATCAATACGAACACAAATTGATTGTTGGAATAAAAAGTTTGTTCTCAACTATCATTAAACTGTCGTTAATATGAAAACATATTACAATAACACAGCGACAAGTTGGAAAATAATAATCCTGAGCACAGAACTTTTAAATAAATGGGCAGAATTTGATTCTAAACAGGTTACCCACCCCACCCGATCTTTTATAATTAAAATATCCTGAGCGATCTTTTATTAGAAAAATCCCGAGCGATCTTTTATAATTAAGAGATCCTGAGCGATCTTTTATAATTGGAAAATCCTGAGTGATCTTTTCTAATTAAAATATCCTGAGTAATCTTTTATAATTAAAAAAGAAAAAAAAATGTTAATAATTAATTTCTAATCAGACAGAATCTGTATTTTTACATAATTCCAGCAGGAGCTGCACAAGTCACAAGATATTAATGTTGTTTGCTCAAATTGGAAAACTTAAAAAAAATAGAAATCAAATTGTATGAAAGAAACTGATTACTCGCCACAAAATCTAATTTTTAAATCGTTGAATCTTTTCAAGTTACTATCATTGAATTCTACTAGATCAAAGTTTGAAGCACAAACCATAACAGTTTTTAAAAATATAGGGCTTCAAAAATTAGAATTTGCGACGAGCAAAAATTTCCGTTCAAAGAAACTCTACGGATTATATGTTGGTTTTACTTTTTTTGTGAGAGTGCGCCAATTTGAAGTTTGAGCCCTGTATATAAATGTTTGAGCCCTGTATGTAAATGTTTGAGCCCTGTATGTAAATGTTTGAGCCCTGTATGTAAATGTTTGAGCCCTGTATGTAAATGTTTGAGCCCTGTATGTGTTCGTATTTTAAAAACTATTTATTTTTAATTGAGCTTTCTCCATAAAAGTGACTTGCGCATTTCTACTGCAGAAAAGCATATAATTGGAATTGTCACACTCAACCACTTTTAAACCTAGAAAAACGACAATATCATCATTATAGTTTATCAGATAAAGGGTTCAAGGGCTTAGAATCGGGTACTGTCATCTGAGCATAGAGGGTCACTTGAACTTACGAATACAGTCCCTGTAATGTTTTAGGTCCCCTTGTCCTTGAAGTCCCTAACCTCCCTACAGTCCCTGGACCTCAGCCACAACCAGATCAAGAGCCTGGGGCAAAAGGAGGCTGTCCTTCCCCTGCCCTCACTGTGGAGGTTGAACCTGGGTTGGAATGAGGTTGAGAGTGTGGGAGTTGATCAACTAGTTCATCTTCTCTCTCTTCAGATCCTGGATCTATCAAATAATAAAATCAGGTGAAATTAATTAAATGATATTTTTTTTCTAATTGACATTTTTTTGGTAATTCTTTATGATGCATATATTTAATACGGATGTAATAGGTGATATTATTAAAATCTATTAATTTATGATTGATAGATAGATAGATAGATAGATAGATAGATAGATAGATAGATAGATAGATAGATAGATAGATAGATAGATAGATAGATAGATAGATAGATAGATAGATAGATAGATAGATAGATAGATAGATAGATAGATAGATAGATAGATAGATAGATAGATAGATAGATAGATAGATAGATAGATAGATAGATAGATAGATAGATAGATAGATAGATAGATAGATATATAGATGTAGATGAATAGATAGATAAGAATTGTAATGTTTCATCTCCGGATTAATCTTATATTTAAAATTTGAAGTTTTCCAAAATTAGGTTAAATGGCGCGAAAAATTTAAATTAAGATATGTTCCCACATATGTCATATCTTTTAGTTAAATATTCTGGCTGATCGCACATTTATATAAAAAAGTCAAATGTATTTTGTATCTATCTATCTATCTATATATCTATCTATCTATCTATCTATCTATCCAACTAACTAAGTATTTATTTTTGTCCTGTTATTTTCCAAGCTTAATGATTTGCCCAGATATAGCTGAGCAATTAGCTTAAACGATATAATTATCTTTTTATCTTATTAATTACTTTAACTTTGATTTATTTAATTATTTAATTAATTAATTAATTGAATCAACATTTTTCAGAGATGTGGAACGCGGTGCTTTTAGTGAGAATACCTTACTTAAGGAAACTTTTCTTTAAATTTTATTCTTACTGTTTCTTCACACACTATGTACATTTTACATAGCAAACCACTACGTATTAAATCTTAAGTTGTCTACAGAATAAAAAAACTTGTTGCTTAACTTTAAAATTTTAAATGTTTTATTACACTTTAAACTTCACACTGTACTTTTTACACTGTATACTGTACTGTATACTGTACACTGTACACTGTACATTGTACACTTTACACTGTACACTTTACACTTTACACTTTACACAGTATACTGTACACTGTACACTGAACACTGTACACAATATAATATATACACTTTACACTGTACGCTTTACACTTTACACTGTACACTTTACACTTTACACTTTATACAGTACACTGTACACTGTGCACTATATAATATATACACTTTACACTTTACGCTTTACACTTTGCATTATTATAATACAAAACTAAACACTACTTTACACTGTACACTACACTATGTAATATATACACTTTACACTGTACGCTTTACACTGCACACTTTACACTGTACATTATTATAATACAAAACTAAACACTACTGTACACTGTACTGTACACTTTACATGATAAAGAATGATTTGTACGAGTAGGCAGTAAGGTTGGATGGAAACAGATTGAAAAGAATGGAAAACCTTTTCCAAGATCTACCAAACCTTACCTGGCTTAATATCAGGTACAACAAATTAAATCAAGGGAGTTGGCCAGAACCTTTCCCCCCCCCCCCTTCTGATTTCCCCTTGTAAAAATTAAACCCATGATAATACTCATTTATTTTTAAAAGCAAAAAAACTCAATTTTTTCTTTTTAATCCAGTTTCTCCCCCCCTCTTTCGTTGCCCCCCCCCCCCGCTTTTTATTGGACCTAGAATAACAATTTTATTTTTAGTGATAACCGGTTGGGAGAGTTTGATTATGCTATGCTTCCTCGTAGCGTCAGCTGGCTTGATCTTCATAGGAAACAAACAAACTAAATTAATATTTTGACGGACAACAAAATCATTTTTGCAAATTTTGAATCCCAGATATTTGATATATACGCTATACAGGCAACTTTTTTTTTGGAAACTCGATACCCTTTTTTTTTTTTTTTTGACTAAAAACAATTTGAATTTAAAAATTGTTGAGTTAAACTTTTTTAATGAACATTTGATCAACCCCAAAACCAGTAAAAATAACGTTTTGAACTTAAAACCTTTTTATTTCGAGCAGTTCTTTTTGTTCCTTTTGTTTCCTAAATTTAGCCTTGAATGGTTAAGAAATGAATTGAGTAGCCTAGAGAACTATTTTGGTCTTGAATCTGGAATACAGATTAAACATTTAGACGCAGGGTTCAACAAACTTAAGGTGAACAAAAATAGTTTTGGTTAAAAAATATATTTTGGTGTAAAAACTTTTTTCATGTTAAAATTGTTAAATCAAAAATACATGATGTTAATTTCTTTTTTTACTAATAACCTTCATTATATCACTTATGAAGTAAAATAGGTCTGTTTACATTGCACAATTGTTATGTCTTATGTTCAGTTGACTATTTAAAGTCACAACTTGAGCCTAAAAGTCGTCTTCCTATTTTATTTATTCTTGTATTTGTTTTATTTAACCTGTACTTAGATCCTGGCCCCTGTCAATCTACCGAACAGTGTTGAGACGGTTCTACTCAACGACAACGAGCTGGAGGAGCTGGCCCCCTACACCTTCTACGAGAAGCACAGCCTCAAGAAGGTCGACCTTACTGTCAACAAGATGTCCAGTATTGACAGAAACTCTATCAGGGATGCCAGTATTTAAACTTCGTTTTTTTTTAAACAACAATTATCCTTTTTACAATGCTATACAAAGTTTAATGTAAAATAAAGATTTTGTCACAACACGTTTTTTTTACAACACGCTCTCAAAGCAAGATGTTATTTACCTATTTCCAAAAAGTTAATGGTCTTAAAACATCCCGCTAAAGTATTACATTCAGGAGAAATCACTCTGTTTGTAAAGAGTTAAATGATTACTGGTAAAATAATGAAGGATAAGCCCGGAACTGAGTTCCGATCCTAGTTTTCTTTTTGGTGGAAACCCTCTTCAATGTAACTGTCATATGCTCTGGTTCAGGTAATAACATTTTTTTTTATCCCGGTAAACTTTTTTATCAAAGATTTAAAATTGACTTGATGGTGTAAAAATAGGTTGTATTCTTCTCTTGACCAAAATAGTTATATAAAATTCTGTATGTTCAATTATATATTTCTGGTCTTCTTTATCCAATTTAAGTTTTTATGGTCCGTGTTCTACAGAAGGGATTAGTTATTTTCCCCTTCAATTGTTAGAAGTAGAAAAGTTAGTAGAAATCTTTACAATAACTTTTAACTAACAGCAAACTGAGAAATAAGAAAAAAAAATTTAAACTTTATTTTTGACTTACATATTTTTATCTATTTAGGACAATTAACAAGAAACAGACGATGAACAATTTACCAAAAATTGCAGATTTAGAAAGTATCTACTGTCGTCTTCCATACTCGAGACAACTGACTTTCGCGCCATTAGTAGACGCTACGCCTTCTCAGTTTCTTTGTCCCTATCAAACACATTGCTTTGCCCTTTGTCACTGCTGCGACTATGATGCATGCGACTGTGAGATGGCTTGTCCTGTCGGCTGCTCCTGTTACCACGATGCGACCTGGAACACCAATATTGTAGAATGTTCGTCCTCGAATTTCACGGATTTACCCGTCAAATTACCCATGGATGCAACAGAGTTGTTGTTGGATGGTAACAACCTTCTCAAGCTGAAAAGTCATACTTTTATTGGACGGAAAAATCTGCGAACCCTTTATCTCAACAATTCAAATATCGAGGTAAAATATGTCCGCCGAGAATTCGTTTTAAATTCTAATTCTGGTTCCGGTTCTGGAAATAGGGTTAAACTTTGATCTCTCTTCTGACAGTTATTGTGTCAAATATGGTCGGAGACCACCCTGTCAATTTAACTAAATACTTCTTCCGGAATACAAAGGGGGAAGACTCTTATATTTTTCTTTTTGAAAAGTTTTCTTTGGTATTGTTATATTCCTTACTCGGCAATATATTCTATTCTTTTATTGTCCTAGAACTCTGAACTATAATAGGACTGTCAGCGTAATTTCAAGTGACCCTTCATGTACAGCTGGCAATGCCCGATTCACAACAGTACACTTGCAACCTTTATCTGATCAAAAATGTGGAAGACATTTTAGTTTTTTTAGGTCTAATAGTGTTTAATTCTAAAAACTTTTATACGTTTTTCTGCAACGGAAATGCACAAGTCACTTTTGTAGAGAATTTCCAAAAGAAAATAATTAGTTTTTAAAATTTTAGAATATCTTCTAATACTAGATCAGGTAATGCTTACAAACGGACACCGTTGTCAAACAGACATTGCCATCTTTTGTCAGGGTCTCTTAAAATTATGCTTACAGTCCTTTTAAGTATAAAAAGAATTAAATCTCTTTTCTAAATTAAATAATGAAAATTTTGATATTCAGGTGTTGGAGAATAATACGTTCAATGGTTTGCCCTCTATGCAGTTTCTGGACCTACATTCAAATAGAATACAGAAGTTTCAAGGAGACGAATTTCAAGGTCAGTTCAGGAAATTAAATGGATCTTCAATTAAAGAGTTATTTTATGAAAATTCGTTGAAAGTTTGAAGAAGTATTGATTGCGGTTTTTTAAAAATAACTCGTGGATTTCTATAGAAAACAGGGAAATGACCCTAGAAAAGGTGGGGCAGGAGGTAGTTCTCTCACGTTGAAATTAATAAATTAATATAATTTCTAACTTTAATCTCAATTCTAATTCAATTGTTGAACTTTAAACACCCCAGGGGATATTATTCATTCAGAAAATCATCGCTCAACGAAATTGCAAAATGCAAATTTAATGATACTTAAAATCTAAATAATCATAATTATTGCATTTGTATTGTATACTTAAAATGTACAAACCTTTTTTAAAAAACGATTTCTGAAAATTTTTTCCCCCACACTTTTGATAAATGTATTGGACTGAAAATATCTCAATATTTGCATTTATTTTGCACAAAGCAAATCCAGGGGCTTTCCGCAAAACCATCAAACTCAGAAATGCGCCAAAATTCAAATATCCGGCAAAAGAAATTCTACGTGATTTTAGATAAAGCGGTTCAATTCTTATTCTTTTTCTGAGGAGTCACTTTTTGCCTCTTGTGGACCATTCAATAATAAATTCGATGTTTTTGCTTGTTTATATATGTACCAGGTATATACGAATACGATTGAGACAAATCGAGAGAATTTTGAACTTTATTCTTCAAATTTGATCATTTTTATTTTATATGTTATAGAAAGTTGTATTTTTACATTATTAAGTTTTCTTATATTTGATAAGAAAAATATTGAATCGTCTTGACAAACAAAATCATGTTTTTATAAATAGAAGACTAAATGGAAAAAGATGGAAATAGAAGTAGATGGAAAAGCTACAGGACTAGGAAAATACCAGATAGAGGGAAAGCGGAGGGAGGGGGGGAATGATTGAATTGGGAAGGGGGGAAGGGGGTAAGGATTAGAAAGTAATAAGATCAAACTTTTCTTAATTACATTTAGAGGGTTAAAGGAAAAGTTTTCTTATCGTAATCTAATGTTCAGCAAACAGAGACACTGGTAGATACAAACAGTAATTATATTATAAATATATAGAAGATACACTATCTATTCCACCACCAAGTCCAGAGGGGGTCGGGACGGGTAAAGGTCCATAAATCAGGCGGCCTATATTTGTATGTACGTCAAGTGGTAAACCTACATGAACTGGATCTATATTTACTATATTTGTATGCTTACAGAAATGTTAAACCTACATGAACTATATATTTATTAACTATATTTGTATGTTTTCATGAATGCTATACCTACATGAACTGGATCTATATTTACTATATTTGTATGCTTACAGAAATGTTAAACCTACATTTATTAACTATATTTGTATTTTTTACAGGAATGTTAAACCTACATGAACTGTATATTTATTAACTATATTTGTATGTTTTCATGAATGCTATACCTACATGAACTGGATCTATATTTACTATATCTGTATGCTTACAGAAATGTTAAACCTACATGAACTGTATATTTATTACTATATTTGTATTTTTTACAGGAATGTTAAACCTACATGAACTGTATATTTATTAACTATATTTGTATGTTTACATGAATGCTTTACCTACATGAACTGTATCTATATCAACTATATTTTTATGTTTACAGGAATATTAAACCTATATGAACTGTATCTGTATTTTCTTTATTTGTATGTTTACAGGACTGGTAAACCTACGTGAGCTGTATCTGCAGAATAACCTGATTAGTACTATTAACAATATAACATTTATTGTTCTGAAAAATCTTCAAATTTTAAATCTTCAAGGTAAGCTAACTATTATTTTTCTAACGAAAATTTGCAAGACTTTAAAGGGAGTGTACGCAATATTTGAAAAGAAACCTGCATGTACACTTGTACTGTACTTTTACTTTTCCTCATAAGAGACACATTTTTGTGAATCATAATTTCTTATTTTACAATACTGTGTTGTCACTTTAACATCACAAAGTGGCGTGGTCACTCCCTTTCAATGAAAATCTCAAATATTTTAGTTTTAATTTGTTTGTAGGAAACCGCATATCTGAGTATACTGTCTGGTCTTTAGCACAAAACCAGTTTTTACTCAGGCAAGCCAGTTCAAACCAGTTCAGACTAGTTCAAACCAGTTCAAACTAGTTCAAACTAATTCAAACTAGTTCAAACCAGTTACTAGTTCAAACCAGAGGGCAGGGTGAGGGAAGGGGATAATGAGGGGAGGGGGAGGAAAGATTGAGGGTAGGGTGAGGGGAGAGGAGAATGAGGGGAGGTGGAAGGGAGGGTAAATAGAAAAGGTTTCTAATTTTGGACTTGCGAAAAGCCTTTGACTTTAGAAATTCTGAGTAGTTAAAGAAGTGTCCTTTACTATTTCTGGTGCAGTCAGAATATTAAATTTTTCCAGGTATTGAATTATAAACAAGAAGGATTGAATTATAAACACGAAGGAAACCATTTCAAATTGTTCCAAAATTGAATTTATTTTCCTTCTTTGAGGAACACTTTGCCAGGTATAGAACTAGTGGAAATTAAAGAGAATATAAAGCAATAGCTGGGGAACTCAGCTTTGTCTGGAAACTAAACTTGATTTATATAAGTTAATTTTTACTGGTAATAATTGAATTTATGTTTACATTTTCTTGGATGCAATCTGATTAGGCTAAAAACTTTGGAATTAGATACCGTAAATACCAATCACTTTATCTGAATATTCACTGTGCACACTTTTGATATCTGTTTAATCCACTTTCCTCACCGGATTCCGACCAATCAGTGTTCTTTCATGAAAAAGTGAGCAAAATTTAAAAGGGATTGACTCTTTGCCACAAACTCTCATTTTTTTATCCCTATTTCTTTGCAACCAAATGTCGTAGACCTTAGATACTTCAAACTTTGAATTCTGTTAGATCAATTAATCTAATTTTGAAATAACAAAGAGTTAAATTATCAAGTTGCAAAAATATAGAGATTAGAAAATTTGAGTTTGTGGTAAAAACTCATTCCTTTCCCGGCTTGTGTTGGCTGTTCAGGATTCTGCATACGGAACTCTGATTGATTGAATTTCCTAGATACAAATCAAAGACAAAAGTAATCTTAAGATTAACAAAAAGAGAAGATCAAGCGTTAATCTCGATATCAACAATTCTAAAGTTTATTGCTCAGTTCTTCTTTCCTCATTTTATCCTGGTCGATTGATTAGATATTAGAATTCTACAATCTTTAGCGAATTATTTAATTAGAATTAACAGAAACTCGAAGAATTAGATTATTAGAAATAAAACAAAAACTTATATAACATTTGCTCTGGACTTGAAATATGGCATGTCCGATTCACAACGGAAACCTTTAAACCTTTTTTAAATTGTGGTTTCTATAAAAGTGACTTAAAGATTTATGCTGGAGAGACAAAGTAGGAAACTGTCAGAATTAAAAGGTTCTAAAATCTGTCTCCGATTAATCAGAAAACTAGCTTGGGAACCGTGCTCTGTCATGGTTACTAAACATTACTCCCGCCGTTTACCCGCACTTAAACAATTTTACCGTGAAACTAAATTTTCGGTATTAAAGTCGACCCACTCTAGATTTTTAAAACCAACCTAAGAACATTCCCACGGTTCTCCCAAATTCCCCAATCAAAATTAAATACAATTCGGTTTAGGGGTTCCTGAGTTATGATGGGATAAAAAAACAGACGGACAAACAGAGATTACAACTTCTTATATAGTTAATGTAAAAACAAAAGACAAGAAAATATTTATATTCCAACCTTTGATTAAAGTTCAAATAATGAAATATCATATTCTACTTCTTATAATGTATGATTGGATCACACCAAACCAATATTCATTTATTTTTAGTTAAAAATTCATCTATTTTTTGTTTGCTGAGAAGCTAGCTTTTTATCTTAAATGAACACACAAAAAATATTTCTTAAACCCATGGATGTAAATAAAAATTGGGGGTGTTATGGTCGCGCAAAATAATATTCTTCTTCTTTTTTATCCTGAGTTTGTTGTGCGGTGGTCATTCTAGAAATATATTTTAGATTAAATATATATTATACATTATACATATATCTATAATATATATATTTATATGTATTTGTTATACATTAAATATATGTATCTTTTGGTAGAAATGGTATTAAAAAACTAAAACCCAGATTACAGGTTATATGAATTAAGAGAGTTATTAATTTGTTTGTCCGATCATAACTCAGAAACCCCTGGACCGATTTGCCTCAAATTTTGATTGGGGAACTTGTGAGGTCCACGGGAATGTTCTTAGCTCGGTTTTTAGATTCTAAATTGAGTGGGTCGACTTTTATAGCGAAAATTTGGTTTCCCGGTAAAATCGTTCAAGTGCAAGTAAACGTCGGGAGTAAATTTTAGTAACCTTGGCAGCGCTGGGTTCCCAAGCTAGTAAACTTCTAAGATTTGAAGTTTTCATCAAAAATATGTAAAATCTGAATAATTAGGCCTTATTCCCGTTTTAAGAGATTTTAAAGTACTGTATTTACAATGCGCCCGTTATATCTAATGTACCTACAGTACATGTATATTGTATATGTACATGACAATGTACAAAGTACAGCTGGAATGAAAGATGGTGCAAAATGATAAAACTCTAAACTTTGCTCAAAGTTAAATACGATAAATATTTAAACACCAAATATCATTTCCCATCCTAGCTTCTATCTATCTATCTATCTATCTATCTATCTATCTATCTATCTATCTATCTGTCTATCTATTCCTAACCATCTTCTAATATATCAAGGAGTCCAACCATCCATAAGAATCATGGTTAGCCAACCATATTCTTATTTTCTTCCAGTAGCCTTTTTTGATAAAAAAAAATCATATATTAATAAGAAGATATCACAGAGTAGGCGGAAAGCAACTTTTGTTTTAAGTAGCATGAAAATTGACATAATAAAATGGGTCTGTGTACACTGCGAAAATTATGTGTTTAATGAGCAATGGACTATTTAAAATGAAACTTGATTCTAACAGTTTTTCTGCCCAATGTTCACTGTACATAAGTGTAAGTGTACGTACATTGTTCAGCGATTTCACCGCTTTCAGCAATTTTACTTTTGTATTTTCTTTTCTCAACTCCAGATTTTTCTGACAGATAATTGAATTAGAGTTTCTAATTACTTAACCACCCCCCCCCACCTCCTCCCCCTAGTTTCTATTTGTGTTTATGTTTACTAGTTTAATTAAAACCGGTTTTCTCAAACTTTTCAGCAATAACCGAATATAACAGCTTCAGACAAAGAGCGGGAAATGTTGCATAGCTGGCGTAAATAATTTTATCTTAAAGGGACAATCATCGTATTTTCAAAGGACCCTTTACTTAAATAGTATCCATTAAACCTTTATCTGATCAATAATTTGGAAGATATCGTCGTTTTCAAGTTTACTCTTCTATATTCTATTCTCTATGGATTCTAAATGAACTACTGCAGATTAAAGTAAGAATAAAGTTTAATATTTTTACTCTTCTATAATCTATTCTCTATGGATTCTAAATGAACTACTGCAGAATAAAATAAGAATATAATTTACTATTTTACTCTTATATATTTGATTCTCTGTGGATTCTAAATGAACTACTGCAGAATAATATGAGAGTATAGTTTAATATTTTAACTCTTGTATATTCTATTCTCTATGGATTCTAAATGAACTACTGCAGAGTAAAATAAGAATATAATTTACTATTTTTACTCTTCTATATTCTATTCTCTATGGATTCTAAATGAACTACTGCAGAGTAAAATAAAAACAAACAGAAAACTGTTTCCTCTATTTTTCATTTTCAATTTACTTTCCAACAAATCTAATTATTCAGTTTCTTTTATCTTTGTAGTAAAACGTATCCCTGTACAATAGACATACATACATAAGTAAAATACAAAGAAATTTATAAAAAATATAATGTTTTTTGATCCAATACTATTTAAAAGTTTGTTGGCACTATGTTAAATAAAAAATACATGTTTAGAAATAAAAACATTTTTAATTTTTAAACCTCCCTTTGGCCTGAAGTAGACTTCTTGGAAACACAAAAAGAAAAGTAGTTTAGAGATTGTAAAACAACTGCCCTTCCTTTCAACCACTTCCCTCATCCCTCTCCCTTCTCCCCCCCTTCCTTCTTCCCCCTCCCTTTCTAACCAACCCTATCCTGGCTAAGTTACTAAAACTAAATCTTGCGAATAAAGAAAGTCTGATTTTTTTTTTACATTTAACTTCTGAAATAAAGAAAGGGGGTTTCCCAAAAATTAACTTAATAGAATTCCAGGGTGCTTCGCGTCCAATTTTGATTTGAACTTTTAATTGTTGATCTTTAATCGACTTTTTTCATGACTTTTGAGAATTCAAATTGTTAAGGGAAATTTTTGAATTCTATAAACCTTCCCCTGGGTCATGTGAGATGCAACACAAAGGAATTCAGTCTTTGTCACAAACTCTGATTTTCCAATCCCTATATCTGTGCAACACATTGTCGTAGAGCTTAGATATTTCAAACTATGAATTCTGATTAAATATTTTAAGTTTGAAATATCAAAGGTGTACACCTTCAATTTGTAAAGAAATAGGGATTAGAAAATTAGTGAGTTTGTGGCAAAGACTTAATTCCTTTGGAAAATAATTAAATTGGTGATTAATGTGAATAGGACGAAATAGAACAAAATTCAAGAAAAAAGAATAAAAACAAAATAGAATAAAAAAAATAGGAAAAATTACTGAGAATAAGATTTAAAACAAAAAAATTAAAAAGAATAAAAATAGTATACTAGAAAAACACTTAGAAAAAGATCCAAAACAAAAGAAATTAAAAAGAATAAAAAAGTATACTTGATAGGTATAAAATATAATAAAAATAACAGGTATAATAGAATAAGATTCAAAAGCTTTAGAATAGAATAGAATAAGAATAAAAGGAATGATATAGAATAGAATAAGAATAAAAGGTTTAGAATACAATAGAATAAGAATAAAAGGAATCGAATAGAATTCAATATAATAAGAATACAATAAAAAGAATACAACAGAAAAAAAATTAAAGGAATAGAATAGAATATATTAAGAATAAAAGGAATAGAATAGAATAGAATAAGAATGAAAGGAATATAATAGAATACAATAAGAATAAAATGTTTAAAATAGAATAAATTAAAAACAAATTGTTTAGAATAGAATAGAATAAGAATAAAATGTAAAGAATGGAATAAAAATAGTTATAAATAAAATAGAATTGAATAAGAATAAAAGAAATCGAATAGAAGAAGAAAAAAAATAATAGAATAGAATAGAATTAGAATAAGAATAAATAGAATAGAATAGAATAGAATAGAATAGAATAGAATAGAATAGAATAGGATAAGAATAAAAATAATAGAATAGAATAGAATTAGAATAAGAATAAATAGAATAGAATAATTAGTGAAAGAAATGACATCTGTAGTCCAGACTAATGAACTCCCAAGAGATGAATTTACTCTTTAGTATTGGTTTAGGGGGGGGATAAAAAGAAAATCATGAAAAAGATAAGGTATAGAAGGAAAGAAAAGAAATTCTTAAATAATAAATGTCTCTCTTTTTTTTATTTGAAGAAAGATTCTCTAATTAAAGAAAAAACAAAAGTTTGAAAAAGAAAATAAACAAATTTGTTTTATCATTGAACTCATCTTACTGTGGGGAAATTAACTATGTTTAAACACTTTAATCTTTTAAATCAGTTTATTTTATTTTTTTCCATGTTATTCTTTCGATCTTCTTTGTTCTAAATTTTCTTTCTTGAATTTCCCCCTCCTCATATTTAGAAAATACTGCAGTATGTAAATACTTAACACTATATTTCCTACACTTTCCACTCCAACATCATTTATCAAGTTGAACATTTAAATACGATAATTTTAAAGACTTTCCGCCAAAAAAGAAAACCCATTTTGAAAAGGAAATTCAGAATTTTTCCATTCAACAGGAAAACTTGGAAAAAATGGCAAAAATGGATAATTTTTGTTATTTCCCTAAATTAACTATAAAAACTTAATTAAACTCATTAGAAAGGGAAGATTCATTTGATGTACCGTCCCAGCCGTTTTGCCGTTTTCTCTATGTACACTGTACAACTTGCTCGACCAGCCTGTAAAAAGACGGTCCTGTACATCAAATCAATCAGATTTTTTAGTGCCACTTATGCTTTAAACTTTACAGCTTGAATGTATAATTTTTGTTGTTAAACTTTTAAGGGTGGATTTTCTTTAAATAAATTATTATAAAAAAGAATGGAAGGAGTGTCAATGTGATAAACATCTTAGACTGTTTTAACATCATTAAGGTTTTTTATTTAGTTTCTTGAAACTTAAACATAGCTTCAAATTAGGGGGAGTTTGAGGTTATTTTAGAAATGAAGCAAGCAATTGGAAAATATAGGGGGAAAATTATATAAAAGCACAAAGAATTTTGAACATTTTAATATTTCTAACGGACAGAACTCATTGTTTAAAAAATCCAAACTGCAAATTCCAAAGAAATAAAGATGAGAAAATTAGGATTTGAGGCAGTTGAATTCAGTTCCTTTCTTGCTTAAAGTAATTTTTTAAATTGATAATCTGCCCAGGGTTTATCCAAGCTCAGAGAAAAAATAATTAAGTAATTATCATAGATATACTTCTTAAATATCATTAATTTGATTGAAGTAACCCCATTTAGAAGATAATTACTTATTGAGATCAAGTCATTGAACTGGATTTGGATTTAGTGTTGGGCTTACAGACAATCTTTGGAGTTGCGAATGTTCATTTCTTCGCAGATTTACAGGGTGGATCCAGTCAACAGCTGTTGAGGTTATTGACCAGGTTAGCGGCATTTTCTTTTCCACCATCTTGATTTTGAGTCATTTCTTTCCCGCCATTTCTTTTTCTATTATTCTAATTTCGCTGGCGACGTTCACATCATTTCAATTTTTACCTTTTTTTCCTTTTATACTTTTTTACTCTAAAAATTCTAATTTTCAATATCTTTATAAGCACAACTTTATTTTAAATCCTTTATTTTTTTGCAGTAGGAGAACTAAGAAAAACGATTTGTCAGTCTTGCACAAAATAGTCTATTATTGGTTTCCTTTATGAATGGAAACAAAAAACATCAAGAAACATAACTTGAATGATAATCTACATTTGAAAAGGAAAAAAATGGAAAATCTCTTTTCTCCCTTACAAGTTTAGGGATGTATAACAAATACAAAAAAAAACTGAAAAGTACCAAAACGTGAAGAATATCTTTTCTTTGCAGGGTGAGCTAAGATGTACAACTGCAGATAGCTCTAGTATAGACCTATTAACCCTGGAGGTATGTGAAGAGGCGAGGGGACTAGTTGCTACTGAAGGAGTAGTCCAGGGTAGTATTCTAGCTCCAGCTGTAGCGGGAGGAGCAGCAGCAGTTCTTCTTCTTCTTCTCCTTCTACTAGTTGTACTATACAGAGCACAGTTTAAACTCTGGTTATACTCCAGGTACATAGATCTATCCATATTTCTATCTATCTATCTATCTATCTATATATCTATCTATCTATCTATCTATCTATCTATCTATCTATCTATATGTAGGTGTGTGTAGTTTAGATTAGTATATGTAATGTGGTTGTGTTCTGTCTTATAATTGAATTATTTTAATCTCAAGATCTCAAGAAAACAAACATACTTCCATCTTGTCATGTTATAGGCAAAGAAAATACACCAGTAACCCCCAAATCTTTGTTTAAATGCAAAATGTACTGCAGTTTCTGGGAGGACTGTAAACTTGGCCTAAGCAGAACTAAATTTGTTTATATGTCTCCAAAGGCCGAATTTAAAGAATTTGAGCCGCAGCTTAAATTTGAGCCGCGGCTCAAATATGGTTGGTTCCACTAGAAATTGTATTCAATGTTTCAAGATTTAAGCTGGCGCTCAATTGAAACCAGTTTTCTTCGAATTTAAGACGCGGCTCAAAACCATTAAATTCGAACTCAAGAAATTGCAGTGAATTAGCTGTAACCGTATTCAAACTCAACACTTTACACTTTACACTTTACACTATCCATTTCATTCTTTTTAAGGAATATTTTTTACAAATACTACTTGCAATCAGAGGAGTATTCACTATTCAGGGGGCTACGGGGGCTCATCCCGCCCTGGACCAGTGAAATCTATGGATTTCATGGGGTCTTTAGGGCCCAACGGGTGCTGAGCCCCCCCTGACAAATTCCTGAATACGCACCTGCTTGCAATACTCATAAACACAAAACTACACAACAGCTTTTTTAAATTGTGGACTTTGTTGTAATTGTAAAAAGTACATGTATTGTAACTGTACAAATAAAAATGTAAATGCATATTAACCCTGTTTACCTGTCCAGGTATGGGATCCGGTTCTTCCAGCGTGTAGAGCGGGGGGAGGACGGAGAGAAAGTGTACGATGGATTCGTTGTGTACAGTGTAGAAGACGACATGTACGTACAGCAGGTGTTGGCAAGCGAATTGGAGCTCGGGGCAAACCAGTTCAGGTACAAAATATAGTGTACTTTTTTACTCTTAAAATACTTTTAACATAATTCTAAAGTACTCTGTACAACTATAGCATGATGTACTGCATATTTCTGTTTTAATGCATGAAATGATAAAGGAATTGAGTATTTGGAACAAAATCAAATATTTAAACCTCAATATCTTTAGAACCCGATGTTGTAAACCTTTGATATTTCAAACTCAGATTATTTGATCTAACACAATTCATAGTTTGAAATATCTAAGGTCTGCAGCATTTGGTTCTAAAGATATAGTGATTAGAAAATCAGAGTTTGTGGCAAAAACTCAACTCCTTTGTCATAAACTATTTTTTAGATTGTGTTTATATCACAGAGATGTTTCCTCAACTCATTTTGTTGCTGATTCCATTTTACAGGTAATTTATCAATCTTTTGCAAAACCGCTGTACACCGTACACTGCAGTACACTACACACATGACTGTATACTGTAAACTATACATTAAACATTAAAAAGCAAGATTATAATATAAGGAAAGTTATTTCAGAGGTGTACGTATCTTTTGTACTGCAGTGTACTGTCTCTGGGCGGTAATGTAAACACAAGACGGATGTCGAAGCCTGGCATGGGATCCATCTTTCACATAAAAAAATCGATGAAATATTTTGGTCATAGGAAACTATTATGTGAATTATTAAATTTATCAAAATTTAATGCCTTTAACCTCCTGGGATACTAAACGATCACTGATGTATCTATTCTTGTTTACAAATTCCGCCCAGAGAGAACTGGTTTCAATATGTACGCAGAGTATACGCAACTGCAATTAACTTTCGTTGCATTATAACCTTGCTAAACACTAACGACTGTAGACTGTTCACTATAAAATGTACACTGTTCAAGAATCAATGTACATTACATATATTTACATTTACTATATTTCTTTAAATTGTTTAGGCGTGTGATTCCGCGAAGCGAACTATTTTGGTGTTGTCGGAGAATCTAATTAAGCAGGTAAAAATCGGCCCAAAATTTGACAAATCTCTTTTTTGCTCATATAGTAATAAAGAAATCCGCAAAACCATTTCAGAAAAGGATCTTTGCAAAAAAACCTCAATTCAGATAGAACCCCTAGACAAATACAATATATGTATCACTTTCCGCTAAAAAAAAACTATTTTTGTCAGTGTACTGCAGATCAATGCAGTACGTACAAACAGCTTAGTTTAGGGCAGTATAATGTGAATCTATGTAAGAAAGTCTCGGCAAAAAAAGTTTCCGGAAAAAAGCCTGGAAAAAAAACTTTGGAAAAAAGTCAGAATTTTCTCAAGTCCTTGGAATAAAATGTCACTAGAAATAAAGTCCTGTGTTTTGGATTCCTGGGACTTTTTTTCCTAAAATAGTATAGGGCCTGCCAATAAAGTCTCAGGAAATAAAGTTCTGAACAAAATATATTTGAAGAAAAAAAACCCAAGAAATGAAGTCCTAAATCTTGTGAAAATGAGGTCAAGTCTAAAACGTTTTCATAACAAAGACTTTTTTATGCATCTGCACTTTGAATATAGCCATCCGGGTGTGTTTAATATCAATTGCCCTTTTTTTTGCATGGTTGTAAACATCCTTTGTTCCCATGCATTTTTTACTATAAGTCTATAATAGGACTTTTTTCCGGTGATGTTTTTGTATAAAACCATACTGGATCCAGAAAAAAGTCCTAGAAAATAAAGTCTCGAATTGGTAGGACTTTATTTCCAGAGACTTTTTAATAAAAGGACTTTTTTCCACAGGACTTTTTTAGTGCGAAATATTAGGACTTTTTTCCGGAAACTTTTTGGGCGGTTACCGTATAATGTACAGTATAGTAACGTTTAAAATAATTAAGAGTTAAAAATACAATTAATTTGTGGAACTTAAAATTTTTTATTTATTAATCATGCAGAGTATCTTTTCACTTGTTTAAAGTTTTAAGGAAACATTCTTTAAAACAATAAAAAATTGGTAATTATGTTTTGGGCGGTCATTAAATCAATTTTTGGTATATTTTAAATAGGGCCAAAGCATCAAATTTCTAACAAGTCAAATTTTAACCTTATTCACTCCCCCCCCCCATTTCTCTTTGACCCCAATTAAAGTTTGCACAAGTTCTCCAATCTATCAAATACTTGAAAATAAAAAATTGAAAAATCACGTTATTAATCTTTGAGGATTTTCGCAAATATATTTTGAGGTTCAAATACCAAATTTATTTATTATCAAACATTGATGTTTACTTGGAAGGTTATCATGTGATAATTAAATTATCACTGTTAATTAACAATAATAAGAGAACCACAGGATTCGATTACGCACAATGATCAGGCCAAATAATTACGTGAAAGTGCACTATACTCTACTTTATATTTCCAATATGTCCGTCATTGTTTGTACATGTTTTTTTTTGTAATTTTCTAACAATTAAAGTCACAATTCAAATTGCTTATAAGTAATCAACAATCAATAAATCAACTCAAGGATTTTTTAATCAATCAATCAGTCAATTAATCATTTAATTAATTGATCAAGTTCTGTCACAATAATTGATTGGTATTTACTGTCTATACATAGTTTATATTCAGACATGATAAATTGATTGATAGATAATTAGATAGATAACATGCAATATTTATACCAGGGAGGGGGGGGGGGGCGAAGTTATAACTATAAAAAGTCCAATGAGCAAGAGAAACAGCAATTTTGCAGTTTAAACAGACACAGTTCACTTAATGATTTAATTACTGCTTTGTAATGTCGTCTTCTTATTCTCTATTCTCTATTTGTACATTGAAGGGGGGGGGGGTCATCATATCCTAATTATATTCACCCCTGTTTGTCTGAATCTGATATGCAAAATATAAACCTTACTTCACACCTATCTATCTATCTATCTATCTATCTATCTATCTATCTATCTATCTATCTAACTAGCTATCCATCCATCTATATATCTATCTATTTATTTATCTATCTAGCTAGCTCAAATAGATCCAGGCATCTAATTTTTAAGACTTGGTCCATTTTCTAAGTGTCGCGACGCCTTGGCTTTTTACCCTATTAACTCTTAAATAATTTTTGACATGTACATTTTAGAATTATACATTTATTTAATTATCTATCTATCTCCTTTTTCTTCCTTCCTGTCAGAGGGATGTGCACTGGAGGGTGTATAGGGGAGGATTGATCCGGGTTGGGTGGGGGATAATAGAGGGGAAAGGGTCCAGGAGAGTCGGGAGGGCGGTGGAGGTGAGAGAATTGTTTCATTCACTTCTTATATCTTATTCTTTAGCTTTTATTCCAAATTTTCCCTTCAATCTGTTTTTGTTTGGCCGGTTAGTAAGCTTATGGTGTCCAGGGTTTGGCAGTGTAAAGATTCTGCCAATCACACAGAAATCCTACTTTAGACAAACATGAAAACTAGACACAGGGAGACAGATAAACTTATGCAACATTGCTGATACGATTTTACGACCTTGTAGTTTGATTTTAAGCACAATTAAGTATGAGAAAAACAAACTTAGTTTTAGTATTAGAAATTCTGCAAGTGTTGGTACTGTAAACCCACCCAGCTAGTTCATTCAACCCAAGCTAAATTGTATCATGAGTTGAGTAACTGGACAAACAAATAGTATTGATTGTATTTAACCCGTTACTACTGGAGCTGGTATCAACGGCCAGAGGAAATTTCCAGGGTAGCAA